AATAGATAAATACTCCAAAAATTAAAAAAATTATTTATGTAAAAACAATTAATGAATAAATTTGATAAAGATATATCATTACAGATTCCATAATACTCCTATTTAAGTATTCATAAATGGTTGTATTATTTTTTATCTTCTTTTATATAATATTCTATATGATCTTTTTTATATAAGTACGACAAATTATCTTATATGCCTTGACACTGAATTATATCATTATAAATCATCATTAATATAATAATTTTTTTTGGATTATTATTCCTCATATTTTGAATTCTATGTATTATGTAAAAGAACACACATTTTAAATTGTTCTTGTGACTAAAAATAATTGCAGCTCCTATTTGACCATAAATATTGTATTCTATAGAACTTATTCTTTATTCACTTTTTTCAATGAATTACTATAACGATCTTGCTTATGTATGTTTATTTTATAGCAATTATTACATTTTATAATTAAAAACATTTAAAAATGTATTCTAAATTTTCCAAATAAATTAAAAATATATATTGTTATATATTTTTATTGTAAAAATTATTTTTAAATATATGCATTTTTTCATTTATTAACAATAGCATGAAGTTTTTCAACAAATTCATTTATGCTATTATATCATAGGTAACAAAGTAAATACCTTAATATTAATTTAAATATTACGCACAAATAATCAATAATAATACAAAATCAAACAGCTAATAAATTACCTTGTGTACATAAATGTTAAAGCGTGTTTTACTACAAAAATATATATCATTTATACTAGATAGTTTCTATAAAAATTATATATCTAACTAGCAAAATAATTTTATACTATTACCTCCTTTAAAATTTAAAGAAACAAATGTTAGTACACTTGGGAAAAAATATTATAAAAATATATTAGTATAAATAAATGCTTTATGATACACATATAATAGTCATTAAAATATAATCTAAATAAATAATCTATAATACAAATGAAATATATAATGTTTTTAGAAATATCTACAACATTTATGTATATATAATTTACAGTATTGCTTTAATACATTTAATGTGTATTACATAATTAGTAATAAATAAAAATATAACATTTTATATGTGAATAGTGTAAATAATTATAATAAAAAAATATTTTTTTTTAAGCACATATTGCTAAAAAAAAATACATTTCTTGTTATTAATTTAGACGTGCATTTACCTAGACATTCGTTATTATTACTAATAATGACTTAAATATATACTCAATAAAAAATTAAAACTGGCATATAAATATTTCCTTCTAAAAAAAATTACTTATTAATTTATATTAATTAAGAATAAATATATAAAATATATTAGTAGCAAGACTATTAATATTATGATCTCCGTTTTAATAATGAAAAATTCTGATATTTTCAAATCTCAATATTATAAAAGATATTATTCCATGAATCAGATGTAAAAATTATATGGTAAGAATTTATATCATATAAGAAGAATATTTGTTTTAATGCAAAATGTTATAAAAAATATAAAAATATATATAATGTGTAAAAAGAATGTAACATCTAAGAACAAATATTTATATATTCTGTAGCCAATGCGTAGTATTTTCGAAAAAAAAAATACACATAAAATTGAACAATTCATTTTAGTATTAGAGAGAAAATTAGAATGGATTAAATATACCTCATATAGATAATAAAAACAAATATAAATACCTCTCTAAATAGGTAATGAATATGTAAGACAGAAAATATAATGATTTGTTCACAATAAGTTATGTTCAATTAAAATCTATTTAATAATATATATATAAATAACGATCATTATTATTTCTCGGAACCAATGAAAGGTAACACAATTATAATCATTTGATGCAGTTATTATATATAAAATCTCCATTATTCATAAATTAGAGAGCTAGGGAACAGTAATAATGTTATTATAAACAAATTCCGTGGAAGTGTAATAAAAGGACTGAGTTGAAATAAATATTAATTTTACTAATATAAATAAATATCAACCACTTTTAAAGGCTTTTAGAACAATAAAATATAGTTTCTCTTACAATAATTTTTAATTCTTCTAATCATGCTATATTTATACCTCCAATTAACAAAGATATAATTAAATGAAGTTAGACTGAAATATGTAATATACAGTTACTTAATAAATGAAATATAAAAAAAATTATATTCTTTTTAATAAACGAACAAAATAACATCTATATTTATAATTATATTATCTTTATATGTATACTCTAAATCTATCGTATATTAAATTAATAATAAAATTTTATATACACAACAAAAACCGTAATCGTAATTTAAAAGCAACCATGATGATATTTTTTTTAAATATTATATAAATAATTTTAAATATGAATCCTATTTGCAATAACCAACAAACTGTTGCACAAATCAAATATTATTTATTCACTGTGGTTACATGCAACATAATAATATTAAACATTATATAAGATAAATAAAATAGAAATATATGTATAATCTATCAAAATTATATGTGTGACCAAATTATTACTTCTTTTTTTTTGATAACATTATTTATATAAAATATATTTTACCATATCCAAGAAATAAAGGTGAAACAAAGACTAATATATCTAACATTAGGTATGCTCATTATCTTGCTATTAAAACAAAATAAATATTCAGTTATATGTACAAAAATGTTTTTCCAGAAAAAGTCATTTTTCATTTGTGATTGTCACTTAAATTAAACTTATGAGCAGTCAGCGCTTTATTTATTTTTATTCATTTTATATGACCTCTATATATTTAATTAGTTTTTGCCAGAATTTAACTTCTAATCTTTATTTTTCCATATATCATTATTTGAATTAATTCATTGCATAAAAATATCACAAATTTCTTAAGTAAGTTCTTAAGGTATCAATTATTTTATACCCGTACATGTAAATCTTTACATTCGAAGATGTTTCTAGAACAAATGGTTAAAATATTCTGTTTGAAAAATAGCATTAATTATATATTTTTGCACAGTGCATTCTATCTTTTTATATTTGTAATTTTCGTATGCATTATTTTCTGTCTATTAAAGAAATTTACTTCATTGGAAGATTTTGATGAACTCATATAAGTTTTACACAAGGAGAATATATATAAGCAGATTCATATTTCAATATAACATATTCACTTCTCCTACTGTGTCATATTTATTTACAAACGTCTCACCATATTTGGTGTTTATATATAATTTTTTTTTTTTGAATATTTTAAGCATTAATTTTGATAATAACATAATATATTACATAATATGTATTAATTAATTATTATTTTGCTTATGTTATTAATTATCAGTCAAGGAAATTTCAATTTATGATTATATTTTTTTGTTGCAAAGCGCTCAATTTATATCATAAAAAGTTAATTTTAAACTATATGAGTTGTACTATATTTATAGATTCATAATCTTATAATAATTATTTTGAAGTCACAAAATAGTGCATAATATATTCGACTTACGATATATTTATCAAAAGGTAAATGAATTCTTAATATATATGTAAATTTTTTCCATAAAAAACTTATATCATTTATGCATCTAAATTGTACAATTTATCAAAAAATAATAATATTTGACTAATACAAAATTTATATACTTATGATTTAAGTACATTTTTAATGCATTGAATAATTATTATAATGTTTTTAAATAATTCCTTATTAATATATAGTTCCTTAATGCATACCATTTTTATTAATATTAAGCACGTTATATAATAAATTGTTATTATAAAATAATATTTTTATATATTTATTATACACAGAATTTATATGTTTTAGTTATAAATTAACAATGAAAGGATAAAAATTTTTTAGTACTATAAAAAAATATTATTATTTATATTATAAACACAAATATAAGTAATATATTTCATGATGTTATTATTTTTATTTATAGAGTAAATAAATGTTGTAATTATTATTATAAATTGCACATGGTATGAACATATTGCCTGAATTACAGTGTATAAGTAGATTTATAATTTGATCAAATGTATATAATGAAAAATATATAAAATAATATAAATGTTAATATAATTAAAAATATTTCAAAATAAATGAATTCTATAAATTCATTAAATTATGAAGTCATGACTTTTTATCGTACAGCATTATTATATCTGTATAAGGGTATAATTATGTATGTATAAATTATAGAACCTTGTAGTTATAATGTTTTAATATAATGAAATTCTATAATTCATATAATTATTTTATGAAAAATTCTTAAATCGTATTAAATTGATTATGTCTGAATTATTGATGCACACATTTTAACACATAAAAATTATGACCCCCATATTTATGACATATATAAAAGAAATTTAAATATTTATATTTGTAATATTAATTAATATTTCACTTTATACACATATAAGTCTTATATGTTGCATACAATATTTTAACCTATTTTTTGTAAATGATCATATTTTATTTTAACAAATTTATATCATTTTTTTAAAATGTAAAAAAATCATTATCCTTTTCATTGTCCATAATACTTCTATATATTTATATATTCTATATATTTTTTATTAAACAATAAATAATACTATGAAAATTAAAGTGAAGTAAATATAAAATTATTATATATGTATTTAAATTAAAAGAATTATATTAACTTTTAACGCTTATTGAATTAGAAAAAATTATATAATTCTTATTCATTTTTGTAATATTAATATTGCATTATTACAATTCTTATATTTGTTCATTTTGTTTGTATTTGTTTTTTAACTTCCTTCTTTAGAATGATATAAAAAATTGTATATATATTACAAATGATTCAATTATATTAGAATATACAATAATTAATGATTCAATTGGTAAATACAATATTTATATATAAACTAGATTTATAAGAAAAGAAACAGTATGTTTCTTCATACTATATAGTTTATTTTAATAAAAAGCTATTTGAATTTGCATTTATTTTATCCCTTTTTTCAGACCAATTCTGAATATATATGTTATAATCTAATATGAATATAAACATTGTGAGCTTTTTCCCAATAAAATAGATTACTGCATTATCATAATTTTATATAAATTTTTTGTAATTCCTGTAATGATTTCTTACACATATGATTTTTATCATAATTACACTATTTTCATATTTTTAGTACGAGTATGCCAGTTTATTTTCTGCATGTGATAAAAATATACAACAAGCTAAACATAATGAAGGAGCATATAAAGGAAATTGTGAACATGAGGAACAGAATATTAAGGAAAATATTAAATCCAAATTCAAAGAGAAATGTACACAAACCTTGTCATATCTTAATGAGATTCAACAATTTAAACATGGTTATAACAACCTAGAGAAAGCTCTTTGCTTATACTTGTATTATTGGCTATATGATTCTAAAACAGAAGGAATGAATGGAAGAGATATTAAACAACTTTATCATGAATTGATCAGAGTAAATAAAGAAGAGCAAGACCCTCAATGCACTAATTTCATGGATGTTTCAATTACAGATAATGAAATGTTAAAACTCAAAGATATACATGATATGTACACAAACATTGGTAAAATAAATGGTGAAAGAAGTAAATCTGGGCATAATTGTGCTTGCGCCGAAAAGTGTGCCCAAACATATAACAAATATGTGGAAACATGTAATTATAATAATAACACATATTTTTGTAAAGAATTATTAAAAATAAAAGAACAATATGATAAAGAAATGGAAAGAAAAACTTGTCCAGATGGGATCCCCCAAATATTACCTTCCTTCCGAAGCTATAGTATGACAACCCTTACATTAATTCCAATTTGCATAACTTTAGCAATTTCTTCATTTCTATTCTTCTTATATAAGGTTCATAATTATGTTACACGTGTATACTTATACAGCAATGATATATTTTTAAGTAATTTAAAACTAAAAAAAATTTTAAAAAACAATGATACATTTTATATGTTAATGTTTTTTATTATGAGTTAGTTTACGCCATATACTTCAAGCTTTCGATGTGCAGCTATGAAGAAAAGAAAGCAATATAATAATATACATAAAGAAATGAATATATTGGAATTATCTGAAAACAGAGGTTGTGATTTTAGAAACAAAAATATTTTATATATATAATTCTGACTAATTTTATTCATTATAATATATTAATAAGGAAATATTATATGTAAAACATATAAAAATTATTGTAATATATATATAATAATACATTTGATAAATTTAAGTGAAATAGTATAATTACCTTTATATAACAAAAAATAAATGAATATCATTTTTTTGTAATCATGATATAAGGATACAAATATATCCATATATGATTTTTAAAGTTTTATTCACTATGCATATAAATGCAGAACAAAAAATACAAAAGATATATTTGATGTTTTTTTTGCTACTATATATTTTTATATAAAAGAACATGATATTTCTATATTAAAAATTCAATAAAACATATAAAAGAATAATATAGAATATTAGCTAATACTATAATCCATATGGAAATTACATATGCCATCAATAATTAAATACAGTTCAAATAAATTATTATAAAAACATATTATATTATATTATATAACATAGAAAGAATCAAAATGAATTTCTGGTTATTAGATACTAATGTTAATCATTAATGTAAGTATATATATGCTAAATTTATATGTAATTCATACAGAATTCTCTAAAAGTATGTATGTTATTTTAAGTCACATTTAAGATATTCATAAATAATTTCATATATATTTTATTATTTTTACTTCTATTAAAATTAAAAACTTTCGTTTATTTGATATCACATTTTTTATTTATTTTATTTATATTTTTTTATTCAAATTTGTATTCCCTTTTTTGTTATTTATAAAATTAGAATTTATTTATATTTTATATAATATGAATGATAATTACTTGTTTACACATTTGTTCTTTAAAAAAAAAATTCAATTTATATATATCCTCATATTAGGGATTTTTAAAATGAATATTATTATATAATTTATGTCATATATACTAGTACATAAGACATGTGAAAATGAATGATTATTTAATGTTATAAGAATATGATAATGCATTTTATATAATTATAAAATATATAATGCAAATATATAGAATTCTATATTTTATATAAAACATATAGCATTTATTTTATATTCTTGAAAAAAATCTTACATATGTATATATACGAAATTTAACCCTAGAATTTGCAGACAACATTTTCAAATCTAATTATATAAGCAATATATAAGGCACAAAAAATAAATAGAAATTAAAAAGTATATAAAAATTCATATTTGTAGAAGGAAAATATATATAAAGACAAATTAAAATAATTAATTATCTATTTTAATTATAATTCTTATTTTATGAAAAATATATAATCGGATTTAATTAATATTTATATGTCACTGAAAATATAAGTACTCTAAAAATATAGAACAATCAATTTTTATTATATATAAGTACATATATATTACTTAATGAGAAAATACAAGAAGGAAATTTTTTTTAACTAGAAATTAATATAAATTATTTGTTTTCATTGTTTATATTTATTAATGAAAATTCATTATGTTTATTCTTATAATATTCGCATTACGTTACGTGTAATTTTGAGTATAAAAAATGTATTAGTCTATATTTTTTTAGTATTACATTGTAAAAAATATATATAATTAAATATAATCTCTGTATTACAATAATCTTTGTTGGACATAATATTTTATTTAATTTTATTTTCCAGTTCATAAAAATTCGAGATTTTCATATTATAACAATTTATAATGTTTATTTATAGTGTATACATTGAAACAAATATATAACTGTAGTATTATTCAACATCATTTCTTTAATACATAACCTTTTTTTAATATATATAAATTTTTCATATAAATAATAATTAAAAATGTATCTCTAATAATATTGCTATTTACATTATTTAAATATATAAATCACATAATTATTTTTAAAAAAGTATGTACTAATATAGTTATATAATAATTCTGAAATATATTAACTCATATTATTATATCAACATTTTTTATTGTATTAATTATGTTCTTAAATTTATAACTATATATTGTCAATTATTTTTAAAATATTATATGTTTGATTCCCCATATTTCTTATATTATTGTAGGAATATTTTTCCACTTGATTCATTAGTACTAATTAAATATGTATATTATTATATGATGTATTTAGTAACATAACATATACCCTGTTATTCGTATATTCACTTCAAGTTTTGCCTTTCAAAAATAATTGCATGTAATGCTGTATTTCAATTATTTGACTTATATATGACGAAAAATATATTTCCTTACAGTAGGTTTGTTAAAGAAGTAACTCAATTTTAAATGTATGATAAAACTATATATTAAATATATATTTATATTTTAAATGGAAACAATATGAATTACTTAGTAATAATATTATTTAAATTTTCATAATAATGTGCACAATAAATAATAAATTAAATAGTCTTATTTTATAAATATAATGGTATTATTTGAGTATCTTCAATTTCTAATATCTGCCGTGTAGGAAATTTTTTTACTTCTTTTATATTTTACATATAATAGAATTATTCACAGGAAAAATAATTTCCCAAAATAATATCTATATTTTATATATTATTATGTTTCACAGTTATAATGAATTTTATCCCATATATAATGAATTTTAAATATTAAAAAATACATCATATAATCAGTAAACTAAACAGCGTGATTACAATAAGCATATAATATTACATGTTTATTACCTATTTAATGTTTTAAATAAGTTATATATTACATATTTCATGCTATATTATGCTACTCTAATTATTAAATTTTGTATATTTGAAATAAAAATAAATAAATTGATATAACAATAAAATATAAAGAGTAATTTATTCATGAATAATCCCAAAACAGAAATATATTAAATATTTTATGTTATTTATTTTATAAAAAGTTAATATTTTATTTTTCAAATAATATATATAACAAAAAGAATATTATTTCTTAAAAATACGAAACTCTTTAACATTTATGTTGTAAGTAAAATTAAAGAATATATATATATAAGACATATAAAAAAAAAAATTCTCTAAATGAGAACTAGATAATCATAAAAAGAGCATAAATAGAAATCACAAAAAAATAAAAATTTCTAATGTATTATATAATAATAACCAAAAGAACTTCACATACGATACAAAAGTATTATTAATATTATATTAGTAGTTATTAATAAAATTTTTCACATAAAATAAATAAAAAAGTAGAAATATTAATTGGTCCACAAATATTAAAAAATATACAAAACATTATATATTGATCCTACCTTTATATATATATATTATATTAATTTATGAAAAGTCTTATATTAATATTAACTTATATACAGTAAAAAAATATATACATATTGTTCTAATCCTTATGCATATAACCCAGAATACTACTTATAGTACAATTCATAAGATTCATATTAATATATAAAAATATTACTCTTATTGAGTACTGCCCCAAGAAGCCTTGTGTATTTATACTATATCATAATTAAAAATACCGAATTATAAATACTTAACATTAAAGCCTTAACCCTAACCTTGATTATTATGTGCGTTTAATTCTTATAATTATTTTATATTATTCATGATATTACATGCTTGATAGTTTGGCACCTTTATCCGAATCATAACTTAATATTCTTAAAATGCATCACAGTTATTATGATAATAAAATACCTTTTTTATGTAATATTAGAATTTTTATGTTCATAAATTTGCATATGCTATATCATATTTTTTATTATATAAATTTATATTCATATTATCGTGCATATTATAAAGTAATTCTTTTTCTTCATGTTCATGAAAAATATTTCTTCTTGTTTTTAATATTTTTCTAGAACGAAGCAACTTACCAATTGGGGTAAACTAATAAAAAATATAATAGTTACATAAATATTTAAGTATTAATTTAGTAATTTTATATTTATTAGGAATATATAACAAAGAAATTTTCTTGCACTATTTTTAATATTTCTTAAGGTTCATTATATTTACCTTATAAGATAACAACAAAAGTGAAGATATTCCAGCAATTGTAGCAAGAACAGTAGGTAAAATTTTTATTATGTATAAACTCAAATTGTAGGGTTCATGATCTTGTGCTTCGCTTAATGGGTCTTCCAGTTCTTTTTCGAATAAATCATCATCTTAAGATGATAATGTATTATCTGCATCTCTCATTTGTGATACTCGTATCTCATCTTCTGCTTCACATCAGAGAAATTCAATGTTAACATCAGATGCTAATGATGGTATTTTATTTTTTATCAAATCATTCTTATAAAGATATTCATTGTATGAATTACTAAAATTTTTTAATATTGAACAGATATTTGTATATTTATGTGCTTTCTTTTTAGGTTTACTATTAATGCAATATTTTTCTTCCATGCTTTTATATATTTCTACAACTACTTTGACATACTTTTGGTATGGGCATGTATATGAATAGGTTGACTTCTTCAATGTTTCTTCAATAATTTTCATGTTAGAATCAAATATATTTAGCTTTATAATATTAATAGGTTCGAAGTAATAATAACCATAATAATAATATTTACACATATCCTTTTTATATAATTTGGGCAAAACAGTTCTAATAATATAGAAAATTCTATAAATCTCCTTTCTATCAAGTTCTTGTTCTCTTATTGATTTATATAACCAGCTATTTAAGTTAATACAATAAATAGAATTAGTGTTGCAATCTTCTGATTCACTACAAAATATATTTAAATTTCTTATAAGTTTCAAACACAATTTATAATACTTTTCTTTATCCTTATTCCTTGTATTCATAATCCCAGAGCAGAATTTTATATACAATTGGTTATTATTTGTATTCTCCACATCTGCATCCAGGTTTCATTTAAAAAAGGATACTAATGTTAAAGAAAAAATACTTATAATTTTCATTAATTTATCCATATTCTAATACATTAGTGTATTAAATAAACATAAATTCTTGTATTAATTATAATATTATTTAATAAAAATAATAATAATATAACGAACAATTCTACCAAGAT